CAACTCGTCAAACTACCACATCATTGGATCAAGTATCAAGTCACTAATGCATTACCACCATTTGATGTGCATCATCTTCAACTGCTCCAATTAAGCATACATGACTAAACACGTAAACATGTTGTCATTTTACTGCCAGTATTGCCAATGTTATTCAGGGCTCTGAGAAAGAAAACAGATACAGATACAGATAAAAGCCTCATTTGTCCTTCTCATCTATCAAATTCTTTGTGGAGGTACACTCCCATGTTTTTCTCAGATAGTGTAGAAATTTTGCACTTTTACGACAGCGTAAAATGCGAAATGGAGAGATGGAGGGCAGGGGGTTAAAGTAGTGATTCGTTAAATGTCTCGGAAGAAAAGGATTCATTACTCGTAGACATCTGTAATACCTCCATGAGCTTGAAATGGAGAGATAGACGGCAGGGGGTTAAGGTAGGAATTCATTACAAGTAGAAATGTCTGCGAAGGAAAGGATTCACTGCTAGTAGACATGTCTGTAATACCTCCATGAGCTTTTTTGGTATTTCTTTGATTCTTCCTTCCTCTACAATCCCTATATTACCCCGCCAGTGGGATCTTACAAAATCGACTGATGGATATGTTAAGGATGGATTTGGTAGTAAATGAGCATTATTTGACACCAGGATGGTCATTGCATTAGGGTTTTCCCGTAATCTTGTGGAGACTACCTTATTTTTGAGGTTGAGTTACGAGCTATCTTGGATGGAATTTTACTTGCTCGACAACTTGGATTATCAAACATTGGGGTTCATCGCATCACTAGGAGTGGAGCACTACGGATGATTCAAATTATTCTCAGACAGATCAAACGCCTATAATTTGACCGTTATATGTTTCCCACACATGGGAACCAGGTTGTCGATACACTTGCATCCGAGGATTGAGATCACTGCCCTTACTAGAAGTATGGACCTCTTGACCTCCCACGACGACATTTGACTCTTGTAGAGATGGACAGATACAAACTTCCTAGTATTCGAGGACGTTGGTTTGATTATCACTTGCTCTTTTGTATTGGAAGTAGTACTTCCCTTCGTATACCAATCTTTCATATCTTGCATTGTTTTGCTTTTAGGAGGTNTATATATATATACAATCAAGGAATTCAAACCCCCATTAGCTTTCTCTGGTGGAGCCTGAAAATCCACTGAGGCTGTGTTGTTCAGAGGGCGAAAAAAAAAAAAAAGAGAGCAGATAAATATAATTACATCTTTGAAGGTGCAAGCTTACCCATTCTTTTGATTCCATTTTTAATTATGCATTGATAGTACAAGGAGCATTTGATCAAATCCTAATTACTGGTAATAAAGTCGCTCGCAAATAACTAAAAATACAAAAAATTACTTTAGCTCACAGCAGGCGTAAATCAGGGAGCATTGAATCAATCCACATAAAAGCAAAACACAACAAAAGGAGAAAGAATGATAAACTTTATTGTTAATGCAAGCATCAGATTCAGAATGATAAAATCAAGTCATTTGATGCTCATAAAAGATATTAGAATAGCAAGAGTGAAAGATTCATACTGCTTTGCCTCATGGTTAGGTTGCTCTAATGGGCCCCAGAACAGATCATCATCAATTTTATGCTTTTCGTGAGAAGAAGCTGAAGAGTTGTTTTGGGCAGAGGATGCAGCTTTGGCAGAAGATGACGAAGATAATGAAGATGAAGGACCAGCCCCACGGGCAGATTGGTTTATGGCAGGTTTCTGAGGTATCAGCATTGGAGTTCCCTGAGGTCCGAAAGAAACAGTTCTTTGTTGTTCCTCAAGTATGTCCCTCAATGATGTTGGCTTCTGAAGCTTCATGGAGTCAGTGGACCAGGCAGGAGCAGGGGATGGATTTGTTGACTCTCCCTTCCAGATGACAAAATCCCCTAAAGAAGGGCCAGAGGGAACTGCAGGTAAAATTTCCCTCTGCTGTAGCTGATGAGAACGATTACCTTTGTCAATGAAATTTGATCCAGCAGAGAAATCAGGTGAAGCAGCAGGCACCGAGACTTCAGCACACGTACCTTTGGCTTTAGCAGATTTTTTACGACTCTTTTTAGCATCTTTAGCCTCAATAAAGTTATCATCGTTCACTGAATCAATTTTAGAAAGCGTAAGAGATACTGGAGCTAGACTAGATGCAGAATCAGAAATCTGCATCTCTTTTTCACTTGACTTGGTCACATTAGTTTCCCAAAATATATCATGTAATTGGTGGTTTGTGGAACTCTCAGATTTTCCCAAAATTAAATCAGCGTTGGCAGAATCTCGTAGTGTTTCACCAAGTGCCCTGTGATCAGAATTCGCAACAATCCCTGCCCAAGGAGTGGAGACACTGATGGAGCTTAGAGATGTTGAGACCTGAGAAACTGCCATTTCCGCTTGTGCTCTCCGCTGCTCCTCCTGTTGAATTTCTGATAATGATTTTGGCTTGAAATCAGGAGTAGGCTTCCAGGCTCTTTGTCCAGTATTTACTTGTGTATTGAACTGCAACGCAATTTGTCCTGGTTGATCCCTATTCTTGGAAGCCTCACCATCATCAGCAAACACATGTGCAGGCAACGAGTTTTGGTCCAGCGAAACATCAATACCATCAGAAGTAACTTTATCAGTTTTCCTCTCTCCTTGAACATTTTGCATCTCAGATGCTGCGTTATCAATTTTTGTACCCTCAAATTCTGACGATTCTGCCTTCTGAGTCTTAGAGACTCCCTTTGCTGAGTCAGATGATTGGGCCTTCAAAGCTTTCTGCTTTTTTGACTTCTTGGCAGAAGACTTTTTCACCTCCTGTGTTTCAGCCTTTTTGGTTTCCTTCACCCCAAGGAAATCATCTTTTTGATTTTCTCCTACATCTTGGGGCTCCAATGCTGTGGTTGGAGGCACTACAACTTCATTTGCCTTTTCAGAAACCAACAACTTATTATCCCAACCTCCTGCCAATTGCAGTGCATCTGATTTTACCAAATGTTCCCCAGGTGGAAAACTTTGAACATCAGCAGATGATGCAACTCTGATGGTTTGATCATTATGTAATTTCTGCTCCAATGGATATCTATTTGCCATTTCTGATTGGGGAAAAGTATCAGTGACAGCTGTTGTCATTGGAAAACCCTTCCCCTGAATGTTAATAACTTGTTCTGGCAAAGAGGCTTCCAATTTCCCTGGATGGACAGTATTCCCAAAAATTTGATGAGACAGATGCATAGAAGGGGATTCAGAACCAACATTCGTGTTGTTATCCTGGGAAACATTAGAAGGTAAAATTATATTAGAAGCACTTTCATCTTTCAAATTGGGAGTGGAAGCTTTCTCAGAACCAGTATGAAACAATTCATGAGATTGTTGAAACTGAGCATGATCCCTAGAAGCATTTCCAGCTGCCAGACCAGAAGTTTGCAATTGCACAAATGGTGACTCGGCAAGCCTTTGGTAGGGTTGATGCTCTGATAGCAAATGTGAAAGCAATAGTTGCTGCTGGCGCACTAAACGTTCCTGCTCCTCCTGTTGTTGCTGATGCTTAAGCAACAACAGTTTATCCATAAGTGACAGCTGCTGTGATGCAACTGGGGCCTGGGAGTGCGGCTGCAACAAATATGGCTGTTGCAACAAACTTAACAGTTGTGGATCTTCGGAAAGACCACAAGATAGTAGCTTTTCTGGTGTTAAGATGCTGGAAGGATTATTA